ACGTGCCGGCCCGCCGGGCGCCCACCGCGACTCCTGGACGCCCTCCTCTTCTCTGGGACGCCATCGAATAGACTCGGGGCAGGCGGGCAGGCGGCGCCCGTGCATGCAGGGGGAGGGCGTGGCCCCCGTGCCCTGCGGACATGGCACGTCGGCGACGACGGCGACGGCGACGACGACGACGACGACGACGACCATGACCACGACCACGATCACGATCACGACCACGACCACGACCACGATCACGACGACGACGCCTCCTAAGACGCCGAGATCTAGTGCCTTGATGGTTGTCAACGCCCGTGGGTCGTCGAAAGTATGTATTTTGTGGAGTGGTCTTCCCTCTTCCCTCGTCCTCGGGGGGCGGGCGGAAGCCCAATTTTCTTTCAGCGCCTTCCTACTTCATGTCTCCCTCTCTTCCGACCGACGGGAACACGGGAGTGCCCAAGAGGTGGTTGGGGATTGGTGGGATGTAGATAGTGATCTTGGCTGGGAACCATGGTACCTCGTTGGAGTTCATGGCCCCCACTCCTTATTCCAATGCGTCCCCTGGCCCCCCCCCTTCGTCCAGGCATGCGCCTCTGGCAGTGATTTGGGACCCCCCCTCCCGCCTCTTGGCCGCCCCCGGGGCCCCCCGAAGTCTCGACCCGCTCCCCAGGACCGGCGTATCGTCCCGAGCCGTCTCTTCACGGTCCGGAGGCCCTGCCAGGGCCTCTGGAGGCCGAAAACGGCGACGCGGCTCCGTCTCAATGTTGTTCAAGACGCTGGACCTTTTGTGGCCCTGCGCCCGCGGCCGCCCCGAGCTTTGAGTCGGGCCTGTCCCTCTACAGGAGGCACATTCAGAAACAGTCAAAGAATAGTCTGGGGAGGAGTTTTTGGGCTGTTTTTGAATATTTGTTGGAACATTTGCTTTTGTATCGACGACATCGACGACGACGGCGACGACGACGACGACAACGAAAAGAAGCCAGCGCGACGACGCCCACCCAAAAAATCTGGCCGGCCGACAGCAAATATGCGGAATACACGTCCGAGCACGTCATCAAACCCGACAAGAGCCCCCAAGCGCACGCCCTTTTGTATTTAATTTTCGTCCGACACCCGCCTGCAGGGGGACACGCCCGACCTACAGTGGGGGCGCGCATCAAGAAACCATCTGCTTCGCTCTGCGCGCTGCGCGGCGACTTCCCGCGGCCGTTGAAAGAGCTGCGGTGCACTTCGCGCGCAGGCTCTCAGGGCCTCAGGGTTGGGTTTCTTGCGAGGGTCTCTTGCGGCCGCGCTCGCACTGTAATGCTGGCGGCGGACCGGGCGGCGTCGGCTCGCCGCCGCGCAGAAACGCGGCCCCGCCGCAGCGCGGCCGCGGCGCGCCCGCGCGGCGGAACCCCGCGCTCGGGCATCCGCCGCCGTGGCGGCGCGCGCCCCGGCTGGGCCCGTTGGAGGCGGAGGAGGAGGAGGAGGAGGCGGAGGAGGAGGAGGAAAGGAGGAGGAGAGGAGGAGGAGGAGGAGGCCGAGGAGGAGGAGGCGGAGGAGGAGGAGGCGGAGGAGGAGGAGGAGGAGGAGGAGGAGGAGGAGGAGGAGGAGGAGGAGGAGGAGGAGGAAAGGAGGAGGTATGCGCACGCGCGGTGTAGGGCGCCCGGGATCCACCACGCCTGGGCTGCCCGGAAAGACGGAGGATCTGACGGGGGCTGCTCCAGGGGTTCCTTGGACGAGGCAGGGCCTCAGGCCCCGACCCGAGGCCCCCCGGTTCGACCTGAGGCACCCTGGCACCCAGCAGCCGACCAGAGGCCCGAGGCCTTCTGACAAGGCCTCCTCTCCGCCTTCTGAGAGGGCCTCCACCTCACTTCCCCCCCTCCCTCGCTCGCCGCCGAAGCGCGCAAGGAAGGGGAAGGAAGGGGAAAGGGGGGCAGGGCCGACGAAGGGGCACGGGAGAAAGCACCCTCGCCGCCCCCGCGGAAAACGGGGCGCAAGAGAGGGGCCTCCGCCGCGACGCCCGCGGCGTGTGAGCGGGGCGCGCCGCGCGGCGGCGTGCCCGCGGGCGCCCCGCCGCGCCCGGGCCGTGGGCCGTGGCCCGGCCCGTGGCCCATGGGCCATGCGCCGTGGTGGCGTGCCAGGGCCCGGCGGCTCGGCGCCGTGCCCTGCTGGGCCTTGGCGGCAGGCGTGCGTCGCTCGGCGGCCCTCCTCCTCCTCCTTTCCTCCTCCTCCTCCTTTCCTCCTCCTCCTTTCCTCCTCCTTTCCTCCTCTCCTCCTCCTCCTTTCCTCCTCCTCCTCCTCCTCCTCCTCCTCCTCCTCCTCCTCCTTTCCTCCTTTCCTCCTCCGCCTCCTCCTCCTCCCTGGGGTTCGAGAGAGGGGCCCTGCGCGCCGGGCCACCGGCCGAGGGTCCAGCACGGCCGAGTGCTGCCCGCCGGGCCTCCCCGCGGGGCCTCCCCGCGGGCGGTCTCCGCGGGGCCTCTCCGCGGAGCGGCGCCCCGCGGAAGGGGGGGGCTACGAGATCTGCTGCACGCAGCCGGTTTCGGCCCCGCCGCCGGGCCCATTCCGCGATACATGGGCGCTTCCGGCGCCGGGAGGCGCCGGGAAGATCAGCTACGTGAGCTGATTCTCCCCCCCCCCCTTTGCTATCCCCCCATTTCGCCCGACCCGAAAGGTGCGGGCGAGAGTGGCCGCCCCGGCTGACGTTCGTCTAGGCCTCCCAGATGGGGTCGGAGGATCGCACCGCATCGTCGATGCATCGCCGATGCATCTGCGATGCATCGGCGATGCGGCTCGATGTGGGGCCCAATTTTTCTCCACGCCGACGTCGCCGATGCATCGCCGACGTCGCCAGGGCATGGTCGATACATCGCTGATGTATCGCCGATGTATCGGCGATGCGGCGCGATCCTCCGACCCCATTTCTCCGACCCCATCAAGGAGGCCTCCAGTTCGCTCTCCAGGTCATCGTCGTGGTGGGAACCGTGTGCGTAATTAATGGGCATAGTCTAAGCTGCCCCGATACGCTCGTTCTGAAAGGCAACACGTACCGTGTTCAAAACGTCCGTGTTAACATGTCGCGTGGTGGCTCCACGTGTTGGCCCACGGTATGGCGACCGTGCCGCGCCAGACGTACTTTTTCAATTTGCGTGTCGACCTCCGTGTCACAACGCGACGGGTTGCGTGTTGTGTATCGGGGCGGCAAAGAACATGATGTGAGCTCGCGCGCAGTCCGGGGCACCCTCGTGCGATCGATCGCCCGTTTTGCTTGCGACCAGAAAAAGACGGCTGGCAACCGCGAGCAATCCGTCGGCGTTGTCGCGGTCAGCCGCAGCCAAGGGCCCCGCGGTGAGACGCGCCTTGACGGAGTCGCCGAAGGGGCACCTCTCCTCGACGGGGCGGAAGGCAGGGGCAGCGGCGTAGGGCACTGGCAGCTGGAGGGCTTGCGCGGGTTGCTGAGCCACGTCCAAGACGAGCGCGGCTTCGATACCTGGGTGCTGCATGGTTGCGAGATCCCTCAGGAGCCTGCGCCGCGTCGCAAGCTGACGCGCTGCGAGGCTGCAGAAAGTTTGGGCGATGCGGCTCGCAGTGTCCCCAGGTGAAGCGCGGCTCCATTTTGGGCTGCGCCCGTAAGCGGGGGGCAGCTCCCCAGAGGTCTGGGCCCCTCCCCTGGGACCGGCTCTTCAGCCCAAGTCGCCGGTTGGCGATTCCGAGGCCCGGCTGGGGCCCCTCGAGGCCTAACGCGGCCAATACGCTCCGTCGTGACCCCCTCTCTCTATATTTGTATATATTCATTTCTTTTTTAAACGAACAAAAACAAACGCTTCGTCGTGACACCGTCACGACGCGAGGAGGGCAGGGGAGAGTGGGGCGCCACCAGGCCCCTCCCGCCCGCAGGGGCTCGACCCGATGATGGAGGCAGGAGGCAGGAGGATGGGGAGGAGGAGGAGGAGGAGGAGGAGGAGGGAGGAGGAGGAGGAGGAGGAGGAGGAGGAAGAGGAGGAGCAGGAGGGGTGAGGGGGAGGGGGAGAGAGAGGGGGAGGGGAAGAAAGAAGAGGAGGATGATGAGGAGGAGGAGGAGGAGGAGAAGGGGGAGGAGGAGGAGGAGGAGGAGGAGGAGGAGGAGGAGGAGGAGGAGGAGGAGGAGGAGGAGGAGGAGGAGGAGGGGGACCAGAAGGGAAGAATTGGCGGAGGAGGACCGGGGTAAGGCCTGCATGTGCCAACGATGCTGAAATACGCTGTGCCGCCCAAGTCTCATGCAGGAATCGTTCACTTGACACACGAGCATCATGTGGACCTGCCGTTCAGGCAAGATGCCTCAGTTGAATTGGAAGTACCTTGCATGAGTATAGCGAATTGTAGCAAGGTGTGATCATAAAGTGAAGCGAGGGGTCGAGCGATAACCGGTTTTGAAATTGAACCGGCCCGTCTGGTCATTTAATTTTGAGGAAGTTTCAAGCCAGAGCCCCTCTCTGAAAAGAAACCGTCCCCCATCCACGCAGCAAGACTTTGAGGAAGCATCAAGCGAGAGCCCCTCCTTGTTGGCGTGTCGCCCTCCTTCTTTCTCACAACATATGCAAGTCTTTCAAGCGAATGCGCCCTGCGTTAGGGTGAGAGCCGCAATGCGAAAACGAGTTATCCTCCATCCTTGAGGTTGTTGCAGGTTCCCGGACAAATGCGCGCGGTGCTAAGGCGAGAGCCATGTTGCGAAGTCGAGCCAGCCTCCATCCTTGAGGTGGATGTTTGAGTGGTTTTCGTTTCATGCGAATGTATGATGTACAATCTCAAGCGAAACGCTCGGCCCAGCCTCCCAGCCTATGGGCACGCCTATGTGTGCGTCACGAATGAGATGTTTTGTTGTAGCGAAGAGGGATTGGAGGGGGAGGGGGAGGCGGTGGGAGGAGGAGGAGGAGGAGGAGGGAGGGAGGGAGGAAGGCAGGATGGAGGGAGGGAGGAGGGAGGATTCCCTTGACCCATCCGCCCTCTTCGGCCGAGCGGGTGCAGTCAGTGGGCGGCGCGGTGGGCGGAGCCCCGAGGTAGCGGCGACACCTACTCGCAGGAGGCAACCGACATGGTGGCCATAGGGCCGTTCGAGAAGCGCAAGCAGATGTTCTGGGAGGCCTTCGCTGCCGCCCTCGTCATCCGTCTATTCTTCATCGAGGGCGTCGGCGGCGCATCACCAGCCGCTCCGTCTGGCATGGCCAGCAGGGTCCCTTCATTGGGGGGGGGGCCCTTGCGGCCACTTGGACCAAACGCGCTTCAGTCTGGCAGCTCAGGGGTGACGTCGGGTCCGAGGCTTCTTTGCTCTCCTGCTATTCTATATAGTGGGCTTCGCCATCCGCCGCCGCACCCCCTTCTCTGATTGCCAGCGTGCCTGGATCGATCGGGAGGGAGGAGGGAGGAGCGAGGAGGGAGGAGGGAGGAGGGAGGAGGAGGGAGGAGGGAGGAGGAGGGAGGAGGGAGGAGGAGGGAGGGTCGACTGCCTCATGGGCTGTCAGGCCGGCAGCTCGGCCGGGTGGCTCGCCGGCCTGACGGCCCGCGCCGCGTGGCTGGCTGCGCTGCGCGGCTTGCTGGAGGTTTCGGACCGCGGGCCCCATCACTGTTCACCACAGACCCTGGTATCGGATGTCGGTATCGTTTATCAAGCAGTGGCGAAGCGTCCTGGCTCGCCTATAGCCCTACCAAACAATGTTTTAAGAACCTCTTCTGGTTCCCACGACATGTTCTTAGAACATTTCTGGTTGGGACTGTCTTGTTTTATCACATCGGGTTTATGTTCTAAGAACATTGTTTTTGTTATTCGAACATTCCAAGAACATTTCGTGGCAGGACTAAAGAAATGCCGGGACGGTCGGTCCCTGCTCAAGTTTAACCGTGCCCAATCCCCATCCCCATCCCCATCCCCATCCAGACTTCCAGCATCCTTGCGCCCCAGTTGGGGACACACATCTTGAAACCCGAAGGGAACTGTCTACATCCCCGTCTAGGGGGTCAATCGGCCATTGGGGCCCAGGCCACCGTCATGGAGATAGGGGTCGGTTAAACGATACCCAGGATATGTGTCTTTGGGTTTCGAATGATCGTGTCTTGGGGAGCGCGGATCCCTGATGTTGCCGTTGCGGATGAGCGTGGGCTCGGATGCGCAGATCCATCTGCTCTGCGAACTGCAGTGCGTCGTGGCCTCGGAGTGCGGACACCCGGCTGTTGTTCCTTTTGCAAGGGATCGTGGCCTCGGCAGTGCGGAGTCATGCTTCACGTGCACGGGGTAGTGATTCCTGGCGCGCGGGCCTATGTTTGTCACCAGGGGGCCCTCGGGAGCGCGAACCCTCTGTTTCTAGCTAGGGCTCGCCTCCCCCCCTCCTCCTCCTCCTCCTCCTCCTCCTCCTCCTCCTCCTCCTCCTCCTCCTCCTCCTCTCCTCCTCCTCCTCCTCCTCCTCCTTGCTTTCTTGTGGCTCAAGCGGTCGCACGGCGCCGTCGTTTCTCCGCCCCTGCGTCCGCGTCGGGGCCGGAGGCGCCTAGAGGGGCTGCCGACGCCGCTGTCCTCGTCGAGGCGGCAGTTCGGGCAGCCGTGCAGGGTCGCGCGCCGCGCCGTACGGTCGCGGCCGTGGCGCGGTCGGCGATCTCTGCAGCGCTCTTCGCGCGCCGAGAGGAGCCGCCCGCCTCCGCGCCGTCGCCCACGGCCGCTGCCGCGGCCCATGCAACGGAGGGCGCTGCCGCTCCCAAGGCCCGCTCCGCGGCCTGGGTGGAGCGGCGGCGACGACGCCGCCAGCGCCTCGCGGCGCGGCGGCGGGATGGCGCTGGCGAAGAAGTTGCGCTTGCTGGCGACCGCGCGGCCCTGGCCGCGCCGACGCCGCAGGCTACGGCCGAGGACGACGACGACGATGTGATGGATGACAGCTGGGCCGGCGGCCTGGTGCTTGCCGAGGCGGCGGATGCTGCGGCCCCGCCTGCCGCGGGCTCGGAGGCGGAACGGCGCGACCTGGTCGCGCGCTTCGCCGCCTCGCAGTTTGTGGTGTTCGGCGCCGACGCCCACGCCGCCCTGATGACGCTCGGCCTCGTCGAGCTTCGCAGGCTGGTCGCCCTGCCTCCCGCTCCGAGGAGCTCGCCGACTGGACGCGGTCCTCCTGGCGCTCCTCAGCCGTCTGCGGGCGGGGGGAAGCAGCGGGGGGGGCTTGTCTTTCGATGGTTTTGCCACGGGAGGCGTGACGTTCCCACACTAAACATCCATGGACGTCCTGGTGGCTTAGGGTCGGGGTGTTGGTGGAAGGTTTCTTGTGGACTGGTCGCCACTGCGTTTGCCCTAGCCAGCCATCAGCTGAGGGAGCCCCGTTCTTGCGCAGCGAAACGCCGCTTTCTGGCCGCGTGGGATCGCGCGCGTTCTTGGATACTTATATAGTCACAGCATGAGCCCGAAAACACCTCTGTGCTCTTAGAGGCGATCATCTCGTTTGCCAAGCTCTTAAGGAGATTGCCACGTTGCTTGCCAGTGAAAGCCAAGCTTTTCGGATGCTGCCACCTAGGCCGTTCAGCCTGATCGCCCCGCAGGGGAGGGGGGGGCGGCGGCTGATTTCTAAATGCTGTGTTGTCCTCTTTCGCTCCGAAGTCCTCTGGCTCTATTTCCCCTTGCCGGTCCTTCCTCCTTGTCTTCCCGTCTCCCGTGTTCCTTCCCCACCCCTCTTTGTCCATTCCATCCCGTGCCCCTCATCCCTCGTCATTCCTTGTGCCCTCTCTTTCACCCGCAATTCCTCTCACCCCCTTTCTGAGGAAGCGTGATGAGGCTGAGGATGATGACACATGAGGATCACGATGATGACGATCAGGAGGAGGCGGAGAAGCATTCCGTCTCCTGTCCTTTCCTATCGATAGGCAGGCGTGTATCCATATATATATAATCGCTACGCATATGTCTCTTTTAGTTGTTGCATATCCCTGTTTCTCTTCCTCTATCCCTCTCTCGTTCTCTCTCGTTCTCTCTCGTTCTCTCTCGTTCTCTCTCTCTCTCTCTCTCTCTTGCTTCCCGTGTTGACTCTTTTGCTGCTCTTGTTGATCGTGGTTGCAGTTGATGGGCATCGATGTGGTGCGACTTGCTTTCTTCCTACCCAAGCATCCGAAAACAAAACATGTCGTGTTGTTGAACATGTGGCTGCCCAGAGGGCTCGACCTCTTCCCGGGGACCGGCTTTTCGCCCACGCTGGTTTATGACGGCTTTGGAGCCCGGCCAGACGCGTGCCATTCGGCATTACGGGCAGCGGTTTGGATGTGAAGCGCAATGCGATCGCTTCCCTGTCTCACGGGTTTTGCAATTCATTCGAGTATTTGATCATGCGTTTTGGCGCGTTGACCGCCTCAGCGCCGTAGCTCTAGGCCTCCTACATGGGGTCCGAGCAGATGGGGTCGGAGGATCCCGCCGCATCGCCGATGCATCGACGAAGCGGCTCGATGTGGAGACCGTGTTTCCCCACGCCGACGTCGCCGATGCATCGCCGACGTCGCCGATGCATCGCCGATGCATCGCCGATGTATTGGCGATGCATTGGCGATGCGATGCGATCTTTCGACCCCATATACTCGGACCCCATCTAGGAGGCCTCTAGTAGCCAGCCAGCCTCTCCTCCCCCCCCCCCCCCACAGTGGACGAAGAACTGTAGAAAACCATGCTTTCCACCATCGGGGACGCATGCCCCAGGGCAGCTGGAAAATATATCCCTCGGCGGTTGCATATCGGAGTGGGTCGAACTCCCCCCCCCCCTTCCCGCCCCCCCGCCCGCCCACCCCCTCTGCCCACCGCCGCGGCGACGCCCACCCAGGAGGGAAGCAGCGTGGGAGGGAGGAGGGAGGATGAGATAGAGAGACGGAGGGACGGACGAGGAGGGACGGAAGGGGAGGAGGAGGAAAACGAGGAGGAGAAGGAGGAGGAGGAGGAGGAGGCGGAGGCGGATGAGCAGGAGGATGAGGAGGAGGAGGAATAGGAGGAGGAGGAGGAGGAGGAGGAGGAGGAGGAGGAGGAGGAGGAACCCGCTCGTTCCGAGCGAGATCTTACGCGCTCTGGGCCGCGTCGTTTTGTACTCACTGGCAGAGCTCCAGATTGCCGCGCAGACACACGAGAGCCGCTCTGCCGCCCGAGGTGCCCGCGGCGTGCCTTGCGGACAGCTGCTGCACGAGCGAGGCACGTTCGCGGCTTTCTGCACGCTGGGCGGCGAGTGGAACGCCGCTGCGGCAGCCTCGAAAACAGGGGAGGCTGGCCTGGTTCGGCGCTGGCCGCACCAAGAGCCACCGACAGAGCAGCGGGCGCCAGCGTGGGATTGCGCCTGCGGACCCGCCGGACGCGGACCTCCTCGAGCGCGCGGTCCTCGACGTCGAGCACCGACGGGGCTGGCTGGCCGGCATTGGATCGACGCGTCGAACCAGCAGCCGCAGACGTGGCGCTGGCGGCGGCGGCGCCGGCTTCGGCGTAGGTCCGGCAGCCGCGGAGGCGGCGCTGGCGGCGGCGCGCCGGCTTGGCGAGACCGGCTTGGCGGGAACTTCGCGGAAACACCATCACTATTAAGGTTCGGGGGCCGATGGGTGACCCATCGGCTCCGCAACCTGGTGCCTCACCGTTCGGACCCCCAAACCTTAGTAGTGATGGTGGGTTGTAGGTTCACCGCCAGGGGGGCGAGCGCCAGAAACACATCAGGTTCCCGGAGGATCGCACGACGCCGTTTGTGGGGGAGTCCCACGGTCGGCTCGGCGGGGAGGCCGGGCAGCGGTGCCCCCGGCAAGTGCGTGCCCTGCCCTGCCGGCCGACCGCCAGCCCCGTGAGCTCACGGGAGCTTATATGGTCGTGAGCTGTGCGGCCCACGCCCAGCGGGCCCTGCCACGAGACCGGGCTGCCGGGCTGATCTGACTGCGCCAACGCCGCGGGCGCTGCCTCTAGCCTGGGCTCTCTCCTCCTCCCCTCCCCCAGCCCTTTCCTTTCTCGTCCTCCGGCGGGCGCGCGGGCATGGGCGTGACTCATCGAGCGCGTTCCACTGGTCGCAAAGTGCCTGCTCGCAGAAGGTCCTGAAAACAAGCGTCTGTCTCGATGTAGTGGATCGCAAATCTCCATCGGTGGATCCAGTCCTCCTGCATGTAGCTACTTCGCGAGTAGCGGAACTCGACTGTCTAGCAACGGGGGTGCCGGCGGCGCAGGGCCCTTGGCCGTGCATCCGTATCTTCCACCTCCCAGTTGTTTCCTGGCGCGTTTTTCTTCCTTCTTCCGCCACTTCTGCGCCGCGTGACTTGCCTGCTCTGGGAGGCGTGCCCAGCAGAATGTGCGACGTCTCGGCTGGAGTGCTTTGGACTCGGTCCCTCACAAGGGACTAGCCCAGTCTGTGGCCGCGTCAAGACGTCGAACCCTAATTAACCCCATGGCCCGGGGGCTCCCCTGTTCCACGGGGGCGGAGGCCCACAAGGGGGTCCTGGCCACGAGGAAGAACAAGAGGAGGAGGAGGAGGAGGAAGAGGAGGAGGAGGAGGAGGAAGAGGAGGGGGAGGGGGAAGAGGAGGAGGAGGAGGAGGAGGAGGAGGTGGAGGAGGAGGAGGAGGAGGACGAGGACGAGGAGGAGGAGGAGGAGGAGGAGGAGGAGGAGGAGGAGGAGGAGGAGGAGGAGGAGGAGGAGGAGGAGGAGGAGGGGGGGGAGGGGAAAGAGGAGGAGGAGGAGGAGGAGGAGGAGGAGAGGAGGAGGAGAAGGAGAAGGAGAAGGAGAAGGAGAGGCGGACGGGGACTAGGGCCTAGGGGGAGGAGGAGAAGGAGGAGGAGGAGGAAAGGAGGAGAAGAGGAGGGGGGAGAAGAGAGGAGGGAGGAGGAGGAGGAGGAGGAGGAGGAGGAGGAGGAAGAGGAGGAGGAGGAGGAGGAGAGGGAGGAATAGGAGGAGGAGGAGGAAGAGGAGGAAGAGGAGGAGGATAACGAGGAGGAGGAGGAGGAGGAGGAAGAAGAGGACGAGGAAAACGAGGAGGAGGAGGAGGAGGGGCAGGAGGAGGAGAAGGAATATCAGGAGGTGGAGGAGGAGGAGAAGGATGAGGAGGAGGAGGAGGAGGAGGAACGGGAACGAGGAGCGAGCAACGAGGACCGAGGACCGAGCAAGGAGCGAGGAGCGAAGAACGAGGAGGAGGAACGACCCCACACACCCCGAGGTCGTGGACGCGCGCATGCCGCGGCTGCGCACCGCTCGGCTGCAGGCCGCACCCCACGCGGCGCTCCCCTCCGAGCGCCGCGCCCCTCCCGAGTCCGGCGCCCGCCCTCCAAAGAACTATTAGTGCTGATGCTCCCCCTTCGGAACGCATTGTGTTCTAAAGTGTTTCCCTGGAGGCTCGCGGCTCGCATGATCTCTTGCGAAAGAGGAAGTGTTGGGGTTCACATTGGGCTGTTGGGTACCGAAGGATAACAACAAAGGTTCCCACCTGATCCGACTTGTGCAACGTACGTGAAAATCGCGCTCTCTCGCGGGAGCTCCTCGCAATGAATGCAAGTATCGCGCTCTCGCGCGGGACCGTCTCGCAATTTATTCAGACGCCGCGCCCTCGACGCTCAGGAATCGCGTTCTCGTTCTGGCCTCTTCACGACTTGCTTGGAAATCGAGTTCTCGTCCGAGACATGCTCGCAATCCATGCAAGACGCACGCTTGAACAACCCGCATGCTCGACTTGGCCACTAGCGCTAGCTTTCCCGACCCGCCCGTTAGAGTCTACCTGCCCGATCAACCCGTCTGGTTCTGCCACGTGCTCTCTGTTCCTAGCCCCCTCCTGCTGCCCCCTGTCGTGGTTCATCCTTTTCCCTCCCCCTCTCCGTCCCCTTCCATGTTTTAGAAGTTGTACAGCTTGCGCGCGGCAGCCCGTGCAGGGCACGCTCGGGCGCACGCCAGCCCCGCGCTTCCGTTACCAATTGCGCGTGGCAGGGAAGGAAGATATACCCCCAAGGGGGAAACGATCGTATACGAAGAGGGCTGGTATGGAGGGTTACGGATATGCGTGTTGAGTAGCACGCGAGCAGGTCAGAGCGACCAGTCTCAAACATATTGAATTCTTCATGCTTAAATATGATTTAGTGTGCATCCCTCCTTTTCGGTCATTAGTGCGCTTTTCAAGTAGAGTACTTTTCACGGGGCTCGCGACCTGTTTTACACAAGGGCAAGTCTGTGCTCACCAAGTTGGGCTGGCCCCCGAGTTACAACATCAACGGCTCCCGCCGAATCTTTTCACAACGCAATGAGAAATCAGGCTCTTGCGAAGGGAGTTCCACACAAAGTGTGCAGGAATCGCGAATTCGCGTGCGACCTCCTCGCAGCTTATCCAGATGCCGCGCCCTTTACACTTAGGAATGTTGGTGTCGCTTTGGATTTCGTGTGACATACTTGGGAATCGCTCTATCGCTCGGGACTTCCTCGCGATTCATGCAGGACGCACGCTTCAGCAACCCGCCTGCTCGACCTTGCTTCTGGGCTCGCCTTCCCGACCCGCCCGTTAGGGTCTACCCGCCCGATCTGCCCGTCTGGTTCTGCCACGTGTTCTCGGCACCTAGCCCCCCTCCTGCTACTCCGCCTCGTGTTCCGCCCTCTTCCATCCCCCTTGTCCTTTCCTTCTATCCGCCCTCTCCTCCCCTGCCACGAGGACTTCGTGACATACACGATGCGGGTAAGAAAGATATGCCCCCACGGGGGTACGATCGAAGACGAAGAGGGCGGGTATCGAGGATTTGGGATATGCCGTTGGGTGGCACGCGGGCATGTAGTCAGAGCGAGCAACATTAAATTAATTGAGCTCTCTCACTCTTGAAGTGACCATCCACGTTTTCAATTGGGGTGACCCCCTCGGGGCTCGCAGCCTGTCTTTGATCAGGGAGCGTCTTGCTGCTCAGACTGTGCCCCTGGCCTCCTGGCTACAACAGCAACGGCTCCCGCCTCACATATCGCCATAACTTATCCCAAACTCGCGCTCTCGCGCGAGCCTTCCTCCCAAGTCATCCGAGAATCGCGCTGGCGCGTGGGACTCCCTTGCAATGTATTCGGACGCCGCGCCCTTGACACTCAGGGATCACGCTCTCGGTCTGACCTTTCCTCACGATTGTCTCGGGAATCGCGCTGTCGTTCGAGACTTCCTCGCGATTCATGCGTTGTTGATCTCCCCCGCTCGGTAAACCTTAGGTTTCTTATTATTCTTATTTTCAATTGAGCGACTTACACGAACAACGGTTCCCGCTTGATATTTACCGGCAATGAATTTCAAATCACGCTTTCGTGCGGGCTTCCTCACGAAGCATGCAGGAAAATCGCGCTCTCGCGTGAGACTTCCCCGCAATGTATTGCAGCGCTGTGCCTCCAAGACTCTTGAATCATTCTCTCGCTTCGGATTTCCTAACGATTTGCTCGAGAATCGCGTTGTCGCTCGACAGTTCCTTGCGATTCATGTTGGACTGGCGCTTTAGCGGCCCGTCCGCTCGACCTGGTCGTCTGGGCCCGCCCGCCCGACCTGCGCGTCAGGATCCACCCTCCCAATCTGTCCATCTGGTTTTGCTGCCTGCGCTCCTGCTCCGAACCCCCATTTTGCAAATCTCTCTCGTGCTCCATCCTTCTTTTTCCCCCGTGATGTTTCTCTTCTCCCTTTTCTCCCTTGTGTTCCGGGTCTGCATTAATTACTTTTTCCGTCGGCGGCGAGGCAGAGGCAATCCGCACCAGCGAAAAGCAAAACAGTGGCACTACTAAGCTAATTGCCCACAACTCTGCACCAATTATACGTGGCAGGTAAGGAAGATATACACCCACGGAGAATGTGATCGAAGACGAAGAGGGCGGATATCGAGGGCGGGTATCGTGTTGAATAGCACGCTCGCAGATAGCAGCGAACAGTTTCAAAATAATTAAACATTGTATCTCTCATGACTAATTATTGTTGACCCCCCCTCTGGTGAACCTCGCGTTTTCCAGTTAAAGTGTTCCGCCCGGCACTCGCGCTCGATTTTTCACGAGGGAGAGTCTTGGTCTTCAGACTGCGTTGTTGGCCCCATTCCCTCATCATTTATTTCAAAATCGCGCCATCGCACTGGGCTTTCATACAATTCATGCAGGAATCGCGCTCTCGCCGCTTAGACGCCGCGCCTTCGACGAACAGGAATCGCATTTTCGCTTTTCTTCTCATCATTTATTTGGACATCGCGTTATTGCTCGAGACATCCCCACGATTCGCGCAGGACCCACGCTTCAGAAACCCGCACAGTTTGAGCAGGAAGAGTTTACCCTACCAAAAACAGGGTGCGAATCCCGCGTAGGGAACTTCAATGTAAAAAGTGCAATGTGGACCGGTTGGGGGGACAACAATAGTCTTTCAGCAAGAGTGAGAGTTCAACAACAACAACAACCACAACAACCGCAACAACAACAACAACAAACTCAACAACAGCAACAGCAACAACATCAACAGCAACACTAACACCAACACCCACGCCGAGACAACAACAACAACAACAACAACAACAGCAACACCAGCAGCAATAGTAAGATTGCTCGCGCTTATCTGCTCGCTTGCCACCCAACACGTAGATCCCAAACCCTCGGTACCCGCCCTCTTCGTCTTCGATTACACCCCCTTGACGGCACATCTTCCTTAGCTGCCACGTGTATTTTCATGCAGGCCCACAAACGAAGGAAGAGAGGACAGATGGAAGGGGGAAGGACAAGGATGGAGCACGAGAGCAATTAAGGGGCTAGGAGCAGAACACACGTGGCAGAACCAGACGATTTCATCGGGCAGGTAGACCCTAACGGGCAGGTCGGAAGGCGGGCCCAGGCGGCCAGGTCAAGCAGGCGGGTTGCTGAAGCGTGAGCCCTGCATGAGCTAAGAGGATGTCTCGAGCGATAGCGCGATCCCCAAGTAAACCATGACAGAAACCAGATCGAGAGCGCGAGTCCTGAGCTCGAAGGCGCGGCGTGTGAATACAGTGACAGGAGCTCCCACGCGAGAGCGCGATTCCTGCATACATTGTGAGGAAGTCCCGCCCGAGAACGCGATTTCGAAAAGCATGGAAATGATAAAGCAAGGAGGATTGTTGTTGAATTCTCACTTCTGGAAAACATGTTTCTGTTGACCCCCTTCCTCCAGTAACCACTGTTTAATTTCTAGTACTTCTCCTGGGGCTCGCACCCTGTTTTTTACAAGGGAATGTGAAGTGTCACCCAGCTGTGCCCCTGGCCCCCGGGTTACAACAGCAGCGGCTCCCGCATGAGATTCCTTACAAGTTGTTCCCGAATCGCGCTCTCACGCGGAACCTCCTCACAATGTATGCAGGAAACGCGCTCTCGCGTGGGACCCCCTCGCAATTTACTCAGACGCCGCGCCCTCGACCCTCAGGAAGTACGCTCTCGTTGGGGACTCCCTCACGATGTATTTGGAAGTCGCGCGATCGCTCGAAACTTTCTCGCGTCCATCCAGGAACACGCTTCAGCAACCCGCCTGCTCGACCTGGCCACCTGGGTCCGCCTCTTTTGAATAAAATTCAAAGAATTCCAGCGCGAGATCGCGATTCTTGCATACATTGTGAGGAAGTCCCGCGCGCGAGCGCGATTTCGAAATTCTCTTTACGAGTGAAAAGGCAAGGCGGAACTGTTGTTGAATTCTGTTTTTTAGAATAAGTATTGTTGATCCCCCCTCCGGTAGTCGCTGCATGTTTCAATTAAAGTGTTTTTTCCCAGGGCTCGCACCCTGCTTGTTGCAAGCGAAATTGAAATGTCACCAAAGGGTCCGCCTGGCCCCCCGGTTGCAACAGCAGCAAATACAATCATTTTTTAAGATTGCTCGCTCTTCCCAACTCGCGTGCCACTCAACACGTATATCCCGAACCCTCGATACGCGCCCTCTTCGTGCAACGGGGTGTATCTTTCTTACTTGCAACATGTGTATTTCGTGCAGCCCGTAAGGAAGGGAAAGAGAGGACGGACCGAATGAAAAGACAAGGGGGGGAGGATGATGGACCACGAGAGAAAATACCAGGAGGGGGGCTAGGAGCAGAAGACACGTGACAGGACAAAACGGGCAGATCGGGCGGGTAGACCCTAACGGGCGGATCGCGGAGGTGGACCAGACGGCCAGGTCGAGCAGGCGGGTTGCTAATGCGTGCGTCTTTCCAAATTAACATTGAAGTGATAGCGTTTCCAAATAAATCTTGAAGGAGCCCACAGCGAGAGCATGCT